CTTACAACATGAGCTTTTCCTCAGCACACACTATGAATATAATCTACGCCAAAAGTATGTGGCGGAATGATGGAGTCCAGGTGTCTCCAGTGAAGAATATGGTTCATACTACATCATGCAAAGACATTGTAGACTATTGTGATCTTCTAGCCTGTTTCATCTTCCTGTTCCACCATGACTGTCCCCTGTGTAAAGAGCCAGCTCCATAAAGACATGGCGTGACCAGTATGGTGGAGGAACTCGAGTGTCCTGCACAGAGCCCCGACCTCATCCTTACTGAACACCTTTGGAATAACAGACAATTGTGCTCTTCCAGCTTTGTGGTCACAGTTTGGTGAAGGCCCTTTTCTGTTCTACCATGACTGTCCCCTGTGTACAAAACCAGCTCCATAAAGACATGGTGTGACCAGTCTGGTGTAGTGCAGCCTGCACAGAGCCCTGACCCCAACCCCACTGAACACCTTTGGGATGAATTGAAATGATGATTGTGAGCCGGGTCTTCTCATCCAACATCAGGACCTGACCTCACAAAGGGGACGAATTCCCACAGACACCCTTCAAAATCTTGTGGTAACAGTTTGATGAAGGCCTTTTTCTCTTCCACCATGACTGTCCCCTGTGTACAAAGCCAGCTCTATAAAGACATGGTGTGACCAGTCTTGGTGTGGAGGAACTCGAGTGTCCTGACCTCAACCCTACTGAACACCTTTTGGATGAATTCGAATGATGATTGTGAGCCAGGTCTTCTCATCCAGCATCTCATCCAGTACCTGACCTCACAAATGGGCACAAAGTCCCACAGACACACTCCAAAATCTTGTGGAAAGCCTTCCCAGAAGAGTGGAGGATGTTATGGCCACAAAGGAAGACCAACTCCATATTAGTGACCATGGGTGGGGTGCAATCTCGTATTAATGGCCATGGATTTAGAATGGGATGTCCAGCCAGCTCATATGTGATGGTCAGTTCTCCACAAAACTTTGGCCATACTGCTTTGGAGCTATCTGTGAACGAAACATTTCCCTTTATATAAAAGAAATGAAGATAATGAATAACACTGAGATACAACACTTTGTATCCCGATACGTTTCAGATCCATTCACTCAAAACACAAAACTGATTTGCTTTAAGGATGTTTCACAAAATGCAGTAATCAGATTTTCAGTTTACAGGAACAAAAGGTGACGCTATGAGCTGCTGCTCTGTAACAGAAAGAGTCTGACTGACTTGATGTAGTTAGCTAGTGCGAAGGCCAATATGGTATCATGGCTGCTGGCGTCCATTCAGATTTTAGCATCTTTTGGTTTAGGGCATAAAGAACAATGATAGATTGTTTCCTATTGGTCTCTATGGGTTAAAATTGGCCTCATCTACACCAGTAGCTTGTGAGTCTACCCCTGCCTGGCAGACATTACAGAAGCTGTCACAGTCTAGCAAGGTTTGGGTTAGTATGGATCTCAGCTGCGGAGATTGATAAATAAAATTGAGGGTTTGGTTCAGTTTGGCGGACCCCAATGCACTCAGTACCAAGGGGAACCGCTTAACATCATGTACCCCGACCTATGTGTGTTGGTTTGATGTAATACACTACGCTAATAACGGTAGTACTAAGAAAGTAAGTTTGAGGAAGTGGCAGGCAATAGGTTGGAGTAGATCCGCATATGCTGGCGGACTGCTAGGACAACAGTTTTGCTACTGACTCAGTAATCAAGAGAGCACCGAAGATGTAAATGGAAGTGGATGTAACAGGTGGAGGATGAGGAAGTGGCAACAAATAGGTTGGAGCAGATCCGCATATGATGGCGGACTGCTATGAGAAGTTGGTATCTTGCTAATCACAGTTCATCAAGTGAGCAATGCGGTTATGTTTGGGGGTGCAACAAACAGATGAGTTGTCAATGGTTATCTCTGATCACAGTTCAACAATTCAGCATAAGTAAAAGGTGAAGTAGTTTCAACAGGTGGTTGATTACTTGTTAAGCCAAGCCTGAGTTCCCAATACAGCACAACCAGGTATTTGAGTGGAAATAACAGGTGGGAAGTTTCCCAGTTACTTGCGGTTCGCTTGAAGGTATGAGGCAATGTGGATGGTACTTGGGGTGATCGATGCAACCTCAGTGTTGGTCCAATGGCAGGTCCTGGTGTGCAGCAATGAGTCTCACTCTCCAGTTCAGCCTGTAACACACTGTCTCTTGCTCTGTCCTCAGAGCCACTCGCTCGACGTTCCAGAACGATAGAACACCGAGTGAGTGGCTCAGCTGTGTTTTTGAGGAGGAGCTGCAGCCAAGGGGAGGAGTCGGCCGTGACGTCATGGACGGACGGCACGCCTCAAACCCGGAGCTCTGATCCGGGTAGGTCTGTGACAGAAGCTTGGGTTTGGGACCATTCAAAAAGTGAGGGGACTGTCCTGCAGAAAATGGGACACTTAGTAACTATAAGTACAGTATTCAGTTAGTCACATTCAGCTAGAAGTGGCTTGGATAAGCCCTGAAACGCCGTCAACATTACAGAACAAGCCCAGTTGAATGTGACCAAAGATGACCTGGATAAATGAGTACATGTAGTACTCCCATAGTCCTAGGCAGTACTCCTATATTGGGTATGGGCCCTATCAGGTCAGGAGGGTAGCCTGGTCTGCCTGTGGAGAGCATCTACAGCTCAGTTCTGAGACTCCTGCCTGCTAGGAGTTGGCTTCCCCTTTCATAGTCACTGCAAGAGATGATAGAGCTCAGAATGCAAAGCCTTAGCCTAGGTTTGGCAGCCGGGCATGGTGTCGGAAGCACAAGTTGCAGTGTCAATGAGCACTGATAGGCTGGAGGAGCCAGAGGAGGAGGGGTGGATGAGTGGAGATCCATGTTACTGTCAGCACTTATCCAAAAGCTTTTGTGGGGGGGG